TTGAATCTAAAGTAAATAAAACACTTACCCTAATCAAAGTAGTAAGGTGTTGAGGTGATCGTTGGTTGGAGAAGTGCTGCCGTTTGAGTTAAATTAACAGTGAAGTCCCCTTCATTGTGAACCCGCACGACAACTACACTAATATTTAATATTACTGTTTTTCTATAACATTAATAGTTAGCATACGTAAAATATATAATTTGAGTTTTTCATTTCCTTCAATTAATAATTAATATAAATTGAAGAGCTTTAGCCCAGCAATTAAGACAAGCAAGAGAGAAAGAGGCATGTAAAAATGAACCAAGTTGAAGTGCTATAGTATAGCAACAAAGATAGACACATAAACAAGAGACATATACTAGCAAAACAAATTGAAAAGCTATAGCTCAGCAACAAAAATGAGACCGTAAGTACGAGTCACATGAAAGCTAGCCAAGTTCTAGAGCTTTAGCTCAGTGTGAAAGAAGAGAATATGAAAGAATAGAAATCATAGCTAATGTACTAAATAAAATATTTATTGTATAGCAAACTAGACAAGAAAATGAACAGGCAAAAAGAGCACAAACTCTCACAAATAGTGAAATTTCTGTACTCTATTAAAACAATGTACAACACGATCTTGGCTTTATGGATTCTGTGTGTTGTTACTGTGGTGCATTTTATTGGCTAGATGAATGTCTCAAAGTCTCTTCCAAAGTTTGGAATCTGTTGTAAACAAGGCAAAGTTAATCTACCTACCCTTCGTGATTTACCTCTAATGCTGTATCAACTCTTCGAAAGCCAAGATAAATAGAGCAAAAATTTTCATGCAAATATACACAATACAATGCAGTGCATGCATTTACTTCGTTAGGAGCCAAAATAGATTATACTGTTTTAAGTATATGTTCTTCATATTGTTTTTGTATTCACGATGAACTTCGTTACTTTTCAGGTTCACTTCTTTCTAAACATGTTAATGATGCTGAGTACATGCAACTTTATATTTATGACCCTGTTTTTGTGCACCAACTAAGGATGAGAAGAAACAATAATTTGTATAGACAAACAATATAGGAAATTCAGCAAATTTTTCGGAACATCACTGTTTTATCCTAAATATCGACAAGTACAGAAATTTCTTTCTCAAGCCCATGAAGAAGGTGGTGTATCTGAAACTGATTTATCTGTCTATCTTTATTTTAATACAACTACAAACAGATAACATTACAATCTTCTAACTGCAGATGAAGTAGCTATTATTTTACCCAGTATAGATCAGTCCAGAGGGAATATGTGATATTATACTATATTTACATGGAGGTTTACTTGAATGCATTCATGAAGGCAATCCAGCATATTTACTATTACACTACATGTTGTTTTTTCCATTTGTTGACCTTGTATAGCACACTCAATTGTATCAAGTTATAGCTAATGAACATGGATGTTTTGTTGAAAATCAAAGTAATACTCTGTGCCTTACACAAATGGACTTTTATTCATTTTGCCTTTTTTCATGACATGCAGAGTTTTTTACTATTCTTCACAGTAGAAAATTATTGCAAGAATTTATGGTGGATGCTTGGGCTGCAACTAAACAAAATTGGCTAAGATTTTTGCATAAAAATCAAAACATACTAAGGGCAAACATATATCAGAAGCTCACAGATATAGTAGACAAAAGTGCAAATGAGGAAGTAAATTTGAGCAATCTTGGATGTCATGTAATTCTCCTGTCAACATATATTGTTTTGCCTTAAACAAACCAATTTCTGGAACAACATATCGTGAAATTATAGCTGGTACAACGCCTCTTTTTACTTCCGGAAATGAAAAATATGCATCTTTTAATGTTATTCTAATGTCTGTTGTAAATACCAAGCCTAGACCACCACCTAAAGCCGGACCATTTATCTTAGCGATCACGGGTTTAGGACAATCTTTAATAGTTTTATAAAATCGATAACCTATTTCAAAAATATTTGAAAGTTCTTCAGGTATTGTACTTGAGATTTGTAAATCTAGCCCCGTACAAAAAAATTTTCCTGCTCCAGTTATTACAATAATACGTATTGAAGTATCATCTTCAATTTTGGTAAAAATGTTAAGGAATTCTGTTACCATTTCAGAAGTAAGGGCATTACCACGTTCTGGTCTGTTTAAAGTTATAGTTGCAACTTGATTTGACACTTCCACGAGTACTTGATTCATTGATGATTGAAATTTTGTTGAAAATGATACAAGTTATTAAACGTTAAAGTTGTCAAGAAGTACAGGATCATCATAT